AGTGATTTTTGGTTTTTAATCAATTTATCGCTATGAAACAGCAGATCATTTATGGGAGAAACATATTTTTTTTGCATGGAGAATACCACGTGTCTCAATAATCCTGACCTTTCAACTCGAAAGATTTATTCTTGGGAAAACCATACTTTTAGTCATCATTGAGCATTTCCATTTCCGATTTTATAACAACTTAACTCGGGAACACATGTTCCGCAAGGTGGATCTCGTAAAAGGAACATACAGGGAGGGAGTTTTAGTTTGCGGTCAGAGTAACCATCGACACAGTTCGCAATAATCAAATTTTGGAGCACTTCCGTAGAAAAGTACAATTACATTATACCTCCTGCTTTTTCAGTAAACTACTAGCTGTCATTCGATAACGTATTTGAAAATCCGGTCCCAATTCCTTTCCGTAAAGCAGCAAATTGCGATGAAGGTGTTATTAAGCGGCCATGATGCGGCAAGTTTAGACATATTTAGTACCATAAAAAGCTCAGAATATTCTGCACAAAGAGGTATTGATTTGTTAACTTAGAGAGAGTTGAAGTGTGTTCAGGCTGATGGTGAGTACAATTGTGTTGTTCAGCAGTTCCAATTGCATCTAAATTTTTCCATCAACAACGAGGAGGACGCTCTATTAGCCGGCAGAACACTGGAGAAGGGCAGCCATGCGAACAAGCAGGAATCCGAAAAGGATTCAGTACCACAGACCACATCCACACAATCACAAGACTCATTCAAGTTTCACGAGAGCACAAAATACCGCTCTGTCTAATCTTCATCAATTTGAAGAAAGTCTTTGGCCAAGAGGAAACCGAGGCTGCTATAGAGGCTCTGGAAAACCAGGGCGTCCTTAAACAGTGCATAACGACCTTTCGTGAGCCTTATAAAGATTTTCCGACCAAAATATTGTCATTCTAAAATAATATCACCGTCGACGTAAGAAGAAGGATCTGACAAGGCGATAAAATTTCGCCAAAATTATTCACCGCCAATCTCCAAAATGTCATGTGAGCAATAGAATGGGACGATATGGGAGTGAAAATTGACTCTCGCCAATTAAACCATCTTCGCCTCGCTTGATAAAGTCGTCGTCACAGCACAAAGCATCAACCAAGCAAAACGAATGTTGACCGATTTCGACAACACTCGTGGAAAGATTGGCATTCATCTAAATCTAACGAAGACGATGTTCATAAAGAACGGATTGGGTTTTGAATGGCCCATTCACGCTCAACAAAATGAACATCTCCGAATGCTCTAGTTACGTCTAGCTAGGTCGTGAAATCAACATGATGAACGAGCTAGCTCCAGAGTTGCACAGGAGAAAATGAGGCGCTTGGAGAACGTTTAAGAGCATCGAGGATGTAGTGAAGAGGACATAGAAATCCGACTCCGTGCCCAGCTTTTTGACTAGACGATTATGCCTGCCCTAACGTATGCAGCAGAAACCTGGTCGCTACGTAAGCAGGATGAGAGATCACTTGGCGTTACTGAACGCGCAGGCGAAAGGTCGATACTAGGAGTAACCCGTATCTCGCAAATGAGAGAAAGGTCCCGAAGTACCGATCTACTTCAACGACCGAAGATCAACGACGCCATTCTAAACACCAGGAAATCAAAAATAAGGTGAACCATACACGTAATGCGCTTCAACGACAACCGATGGGCGAGGGCCGTCACCGACTGAATACCTCGGGATATCAAGCGCTCTAGAGGTAGACCGTCGACCCGATGGTTCAATTTTTTTACGAAAAGCATAAAAGAAAGATATGGTACTCAGCGAATACCTAGAGCGAAGAGAACTTACTGGGCTACTCTTGCACGAGATAGAAAAAAATGGAATTGTTGCTGGTGCACGCTCGAGTCATTCGACAATCAACGGCACGGCAGGCGATACAGGTGATTGTGTTATTGTTGCTGTGGGGATTGCAATAAATTGTGACACAACAAGAATTCTTTGCAGATTCATGTAGAATTGCTGGTTCTACGAGAAAAAAAAGAGTATGCATCTATGCATTTTGTGCAAAAGGTTTTGTCGTGACCTCAAATGAGGGCTGGTGAATGCTGCCCGATCATTTGTTAACATACAATGGTGATGAGGAGCTCCGTGGCGAAGCCGATGAAAGCATGGAAAGCCAAGAGAATTGCTATCACCCAGTACATCACCATAAATGAGGATGTACAGGTGCTCACTGGTTACAATTAGGGTGAAAATACTGACCGAACTAATTCTGTCGGTATAGTTGACCAATCTGAATCGTATATGAAGTTGATTGCTGAACCGATATTGTAACAAAAAATTTGCCACGTCATCAAGATGTTGTAAAATATGGGTCAGAAATGAGAATTTTACAAATAGGAACTCTTCACAGTGGTGAATGCACTCTCTTTTCACGCCTACATACTGGAAGTGCATGAAATTTTTTTCTAAAATTTTTTAAATGAACTATACCTCTGCTATCGACTGCTTTTTTGCAGACCAGCTCAAAATGATTTAATCTGATAGGGAATTACAAGTTTTGAGCCGATAGGTCTAGTGCTATATAGGCGCCTATTTCGTCCTATTGGGACTCATCAGTAGCACCCTCCCTCGGTTCCGTCGATCCCTTGAGGTGAAATAATCCTCTAAAGGAATCGGCGCCGAGTAAAAACTCATCACCCAAAGTAGGATGACGGTCTTACCTAACTTTGTGGTGACCGGCAGTCGAGCATCATCGTGACCATCATCCTATTTTGGGTGATAACTCCCAATAAATTCTTAGTTATTTGGATGCTTCAGATGTTGCCACGTTCATAAATTCTAGAAAAGTTCCTGTTCTATCGTTATATGGGTAATTTCTTTTTATATCTTATATTTGACGATATGGATTATTCATCGTTGCAGGCTTTGCCACTCGTCAAGCTTGCTCATTTGCACATAGTATTACGTTCAAAGTAGATGTCTACAGACAATTTCTTGCACCTCCTTCAGTCGTCTCTGCAACAATGACTTCAATATGACCACGTACAGGTGACCTTGGAGGACAAACAATAGATCAAAAACCTTCTTATCCGCTCAACTGCTCCCACTGGTTATCTACCTCCGCTTATTCCACAAAATTTTATTCAAGAGGGTCAAATACTTTGCAAATTGCAAAGCTGCTAATTATTGAAAGTGTGGGAATATGCTTAAGATATTTTGACTAAAAAATCTTCCATGCCATCAGATGAAAATAGAAACATAATAGAAAACTAGAATATAGAACATATCACGGCGCCTGTAACTATTCCAGCGTCGGTTCCTATAGATAAAGGATATCTTTTCGTAGAAATGACTGAACGGGAGAATACCGTGCAACTGACGAAGCTGTAATGTCAAAACTCTTGTCTTGCACTGTATAAGTGCCAGAATAGAGCTTATGAAAGGCTCAAAATATATTACACAAAACTAAAATATCCTGTTTGACCGCTTTTTGGCAAGCGGTGACGATGAGGAGGAGCTTCAAACAGCTATTTCCTTAAAATCAGGAGGCATTTTTGCACTAGGAGGAATACCGGGCCTGGCAAATAAAATCTGTTCCTGAAGTTTCCGAATAAAACTGTAGTAACACGTGAGCAAAGGCATGTAGTTACTGACCAATTTGAGAATAAATAATGCGTCAGATCGGAAAAACAATTTTTCTAGGGAAGTACTCCTCAAAATCAATATTACAAACTTTGAGTAGGGAGACTGGAGCTTCCCGAGAGGATTGGCTAAAGCCAAATGATCTGCTCGGTTGACGAGGCTGTTAAGGGCGAAACACGTGTATCGGGCTGTACAAGAGCACATTAACAGACCACATGACATGTTAGCTCAAATAATAGTTATGAGAATGCAAACTCTACTAGAGCTACTACAATTACTCATAAATTCTTCCGTATAGATTTCTTCTGAAAGTTAGACATTGGTGGATATGTGTTTTCAATACTGTCTCGCAACATTGTCACAGCAATTGTAGAAAAAAGGTTGGAAATGCACTGTTATCCCATAGATATGACTCTCGTATCGAAAAAAGGAAAAGCGTTAGAGTATGTGGGAAGTTTCTTCACTCAGAATATGTTTATTGGTCCCCTTCGAAAAATATTCTACTTTTGAATAAAATTTTTTTTTATTTGAGCGGTTTTAGCGGTGGAATGAATTTTCAAATGTACCCTTTGATGGAAAGTGTGTAAAGCGTTCGCGTCAGACGGGACTCGAACACACATCCACTCTATCCGGGAGCGCGTGCTCTAACCCGCTGCACTACTGACGCCATTTTGCACACCACACTTTCTGCACCACATCGCATCTATCTGTCAGCCGCCAACCGTCAAAGTCCTGGCCTGGGTAGTCGGTCTCGACATTTAATTCATTCACGCTGACAGATATTGGTTGGCGGCTGACAGATAAATGGGTTGTAGCATAGAAAGAGTTGTGTACAAAATGAATGTCAATAGTGTAACGGGTTAGAGCACGCGCCCATGGATATAATGAGGTGTGAATTTGAGTCGCGTTTAGCGCGAAAGTCTTGCACATCGATTTTCACTAAAGAATATCTTTTAAAAATCAGTCCACCGCTAGAAACGGTTAAATAAAAGAATTTCTTGATTTCGAGTGTTTTCTTGAGACCACGCTCAAATTTTAACAGATCTCTTCATTATTATTTGATCCAACATGTCATGTGCTCTGGTAAGGGCTCTTGTACAGCCCGATACACGTGTTTCGATTTTACAGTCTCGTCAGCCGGGCAGAACCGTAGTCTTTTGATCATTTCAAGAGCAAATCCTCTCGGGAGCCTGCTCCTCTTGCAGAGAGGTGTCGAAGACCGAACGATTTACTGATTTACTAAAGAATTTCACTTGATCATCAATACCTAAATCTGTCAGAGTGACTGGGTTCATTGTCAATACCGACTAACCGGGCCAGGCCGATGGACAGTTGGCGGTTGACAGATAGATGTGCAGTAGGGCAGAGGATGAGAGTGGTGGTGTGAAACTGGGCGTCAGTAGTGCAACGGGTTAGAGCAAACGCTCCTGGCTAGAGTGAGATGTGGGTTCGAATCCCGCATGGCGCGAAAGTTTTGCACATCACTCACCACCAAGGGGTAATCTACCTTTACTCAATGATAAACTTTTTTAATTCACATGTATCCATATGATATCAAGAAATCGCTTTGAAGTTGGAACAACATACTCCAAAAGCAAAACGTAATTCGCTTCTCAGTTTTTAGATCGTATTTTTAGAAACCAAATATAGAAATGAAATCTCTATCTCCCAAGCTATTGAAATAATCACTAAAAGTCCAGTGAGTCTGTGACTCGGCACACTGTAGTTGGTGAATGTGGTCGGTACCCACAAACAAACTTTGCAGCTGTCAGATCTTCTTAATGTTCATTTTTGCACCATAAGTTTCATTTGCCACTTTTTATGCTACAAACTTTCTTCCCATGTGTTGTGAACAAGTATTGCTTTGTTCTCATCTCTATTTTGGACCTTAATCTTTGTCAAACATCCTTTGTGCGTATGTGACCCTTTGGTTGTTTGGGTTTTTATCATACCGTAGAATTACTGTAGTGCTTCATGTGGTAAAGTCATTGTTTATGGTCCATATGAAAGCCCAATTAAAATAGATAGTGCAGTTGTCAGATGTCAACAGTTAGCAGTCATCGATTAGAGTTAGGAGTATTGAATTCCTACCTAACTATCAACTCAATGTTCTCTCTCCTAGTGGGTCCACTTCAAGCTTATTCACAGTAAACACTTTATAACCTCTACCGTGTTTTCCATATTCACAAATACGTCAATGTGAATTGCAATCATCTCGATACTGTCGGAACAGTTTCTAAGCATTAGGGTCGAATACTCATCGATTTCCGGATAACGGAAAGGAACCAAAAAATGTTATAAGTAGCTCAAGAAATATCCTTCTAAACAAAGCGTCTTTTCGTTGATACATACAAAATTTTTCAATTCAAAGATGCACTTTACTATGAAATTTTTTATTGAAGTTTGGCCTGATAATTTATCATTTTGTTCACAATAACTGATCCGTAGTGACAGTGTCTTTGAAAACGAATTCTACTACACAATGCCAAGAAATATTTTCAGAAGTTGAACAAATGAACTCTGGTTGCCAAAACGTTATATTTGTCGTTAAAGAACGTACTGTCTTTTTACAAAGAAAAAATAGTTTGAAAAGACGGCATTTCTTAAGTTGTCAGATGGCTATAAATACGCGAGCAAAAAAAAGGAAGAAACGGACGTTATATAACAGCTGCAAAATTTTTTTCACAACATGTAGTTTTCTCGCTAAAGCATAGATTATTTTGCGGTACATAAGCGGTTTTTTTCTTTACTATAAAACTCTTTGTAAAATACTATTTGTTTCGAGTGTCTTCTTCAAAAAAAACACGCTCAAATTTCAGTATACCGGATTATTATTTATGAGCCATGCACGTCCTCCGTTATGGGCACTTATACGGTGCAAACACGTGTTTTGGTCATTCTGACCCGTCAGTTGTTCGGTTGGCCTTCCTTACACTTCAGTCAATTCCGCTGGTACTGCTACCTGCTAAAAAGAACTGACGACGTACGTTTTACACGCTGTATTAAGTGAAAATATCACTGAATGGGCTGTGTTCAACACTCAATCGCTCTGGCTGGAAATCGTGAAATATTATCTATCGAGTGTACAACAGAGCCGTTCAGTGATGATTTTACTAAATGAAGCGTGCAAAAACGTACGTCCTTGGTTTCTCTTAGCAGGGGGAACTGAATGAAACGTAAAAACACCGTGCAGCTGACGAGGCTAGAAGAACGAAACACTGTAGTGCACTGTAGAAGTGCTCATGAGCGACCACATGAAGGCTCAAGAAAAAATTATCAGGCATCTTCATAAGGTCTCTTCTGTGGCATTCATCATTCAACCATTGATAATGCCCATTCAGTATCTCAAAATACTGAACTAGCGCCCGTATTTCCATTTGAAAACGCGTGGTAATAGAGGACTGCTGAAGCGCCACCTCACGCCCAGAGCGCCACACGGCCTGAAAAGTAGCCATGTCGCTGTCGACGAGCTAACGACATGGAATTTCTCGGTCAAAAATACTTCTATCCAAAAATTCTTAGTGAAATGGACTTAGCGTAGTGTACTGAGAAGACGTTTTTGTTGATCGCCACTTAGAATATAAATCTACGTTTCTCAAGCTGTCGAAGACTTCAAAAAAGTTAGTGATAAAATTTGTCGGTTGAAAAAGTCAAGCATCGAGATTAATACATTCCGCCTCAAATAAGATAAAGAACTGTTAATAGTGTATGGACTGTCCTTCCCTTCGACTGGAACTTGCACAAGGCTAGTACTTTTGCTTTTTCAAAGTTTGGTGGCTAGCGTTTTGGCGACTCCGCCTTCGTCAGAACTTAAACGTACATTTCACGCCATATTCTGATTACTCTGTTGATCTTTCGTATAAATTCATGACAAGTAATTCAGCAAGCTAACCATTTTGAAAAACCGACTTCCTTTATACTTATACGGGAGAGGTTATCGGTCATAAGTGACACATTGTGAAAAAATAAGCAATACTCAGATTAGAATATGGACTTGAGATAATGAGACAAGTGTCATTATCATTCTTATGATCAGGCACTTTCTCGTCCTACTCATTTTGATGAATAAAATGACCAAAACGAGGTTGCTAAAATCTTAGCCATATTTGAAAAAAGAAGAAGTACCAACCTCGTGCAAGTCTTAACAGTCTGGAACGTGTCAATTAATTCTCACGGTGCCGCTACCACTGTTGGCGCGGACATTATAAAATGGAGGTGTTTTTATAAATGCGAACGAAGAAAGTGTAAAAAAAACAGAGAAATACTACCTAATTTGTGATACAATATAATCTGCAACAAATGAAATTTAGATACATTGATCGGAAGTAGAAGCGTTTTTGATATGTTCACTAAGTCATAGAAAACACTTATCTTATAATTGTAACATCTTCACGCTGTGCAGAGCTTATCCGTGAAGATATGATGTCGCTGTTTTCTGCTTATTTTGCTCTAGGTAGTATTGATTGTTTTCAATAAACATTACGCAAAAAAAATCGTTACACCACCAACTCATCTCCTTTTGGATTTTCGAGAATCTATATCATAGCGGCGATCATGGTATGGTTGATCTGGTACCGGCATGAGTGAAAGAGGCGATCTCTCTTAATGACGTTTGTTGCAATAACACCCATAAATCTGGATTTCAACAGATAAAAGAGCAAGCCTTCAAAATAGTGAAATTAGGATTTACAGATTATACTAAGATCCACATCATCAATGAGGGCATGGTCCATGTCTGGAAATTTGGATCTTTTCGAGACCTTCCGCTGAAATTATTTCAAATAATGCTCTAATGAGTAAGATCGTTTGTCTTTCTGTTCTGCGACGGAGCCGAGGACTAATGAGTACTACTAGCGTGTGATACAGGCAGGATATATGCGCTATTCAAAATTTAGATAAATTGATGGTCATTCAAAATACCCGATGACTAACGAACTTACAGGTGACATAGATGTATGGAATGGAAAAAAACAACCCTACTCCAGCACGTATACGACCTGAGCCGCTTATATTGCAACGGAATAACCAAATAAATCCCCTTGAAGGATAGAAGACAGACGATGGAAACTCTATGTAAATATTCAATAAAGAAACGAGATCGACTTGGTACAATAAATGTGACATCTGTTGCAAGCACACAAATCTTTTAACTCTTCTTAAACTTGTCGCATTATAGTGATAAAGATTGGACACTCTGGAATAATATAATATATATATATATATATATATATATATATATATATATAATATATATAAATATATATATATATATATAAATGAAAATGTCACAAACATCTTTTCATTGCACTAACCGTTTTTTACTCAACTTGTTGACGAATTCATGGATTTTCGTGTCTAATCGATATTAGTGATTTCGAATTCGCTGCCAATATTGTCTATTTCACCAATTTGACCGTGTTCAGCCACTTTTTTATCGCACCACGGAGTCTTCTATGAACATCCAACTTCTATCACTAAGTGACCACTGTAAAAATTTTGCGATATTCTATTTCCTGAGCATACATCACCTTTTATGCAATTCAACTCCCATTAGTGGATAGGGCCTGCCTTTGAGAGCCAATTTTATGAATTTGGGAATCAACTTTGTATAAGCTTGACGTGATCCATAAACGTTATTCATACAAACAATGACTGATCGCCACCTTAAACACTCTGCGGTAAATAAAGAGCACTCAGTGGAAAGTCACAGCTAGGCTATCGTAAGAATTGCAAAGACACGTGGTCAACCAATCCTCTATCAAGTTTTAGAAGAAGACGAAAAAATCGATTGAATGCTAGACGCACTAGGATACGCAAACTGAAAAAGAGATTGTGAGACATATCAAAAAAGTGATAGAGTAGAAGAGCATGTTTGAAACCGCGCGAGGAAGAGAACTCAAGGATGTTGCCTAATGAGACAGCCATGAATGCTACTTTGAGTCTTTCCGCTCCGATGAGGTCTTCTATCACTCCGAGAATAGAAAGTCATCATATTCTTCTGAAAAAATTGCCAGCTCACGATAAAAGGAGCCAAGCAAACTTTGCAATAAGTATTCAGGTTCCTTCCAGCACAGATGCACGGGATTCCAAAGAATACAGCGACTAGTAAACAACGACATCATGAATACTATCCTCAACTGGGACGAGCTTGCTCACAGATTGAAATTTTGTAGCTCGATTACGGATGTGAAACAATGAAATGAATGCAAATACTACATAGAAGAGAAAGCTTGTGAAGAACTCACTCCGTATGCGCGAATAATCATTTCACATGCAGCCTACTAGCTGCATATGGATTTGTCGGTTTTTGAAGAGAGTTCTCAGTCCTAGGAGACACATCTCCAACTGAGTCACCGTACACCTAATCTACAAAAAGTATAATTTCAACAGAAATGCGACCAAATAAGAGTAAAACTTGCCAGTACCAATATGCACAAATTTTTTGACTCCACCCACTAACGATACACT